TTTTTCTTTCAGTTGACAACAGTCGTACAATCAGTTCTTTGGCGTTATCTATGTTTACATTGGGGAACAAAAGTACCACTGACAAATATAGATAAAACTATTCTGAATCCAGAAGTGGAAGAAAAAGTTATACTTAGAAGTAACATAAAAACAGCTTCAAACATAGAATCAGTAATTTCCTTGGGTATGAAAACCCCATGAGATTTTAAATAACTTTAAAACTATAATCCTTAAAGTTTTATAGAAGATCATAAAACTTTCAAGCTGGGAAAGCTCCTGGATAGTCATATATTTATGGATGAAGCAACCACAACTTAGAGAGGCTTGGGGGCTTGCCCACAGTTAGTGGCAGACTTTCAAATTCATGCTGGCCAAGATTACATAGAACTCTTACGGATTACAGATAAGTACCAGAAAAAAGTGACTTTTCCAAGGATACACCAGTTTTTAGAAATAAATGTAGTGGCAAGTCATGTTTTTCGCATATTTCCTACTTTGTTTACCTAATTTTTATGTTTTCTTTCATTTTTCATTGCCCTAATGAGAATGAATATATTTAAAAGAATCCCTTTTAGGAGATTATATAATTTGAAATATTATATCTGATCAATGATATGTTAGAAAAATGAACCATAACCTTCCTAGAATAGCGTATTTAACAAATAGATACTTTCAGAACTTGTTAGGTTAAAGAATTCTAGTTTTCTCCACTTTTATTACAAAACTATTTTATGAATGGAGAAAAATGAGCATAGCCAGAAGCCTGTATATGAATTCTTACAGCAATATAACAGTATTTCTATGTAAGTAGTAGGAGCTTTGATTTGAACTTGGGTTTAATTATCTGCAAATTTAATAGCTGTATGATCTTGGACAAGTTATTAAACTGTCAACCTAACTTTTTTTTCTTCTCTACGTAATAACTTACCTCATAGATGGTTTTTAATGATAAATTGGGATTAAATGAGAATATGTGTAACACAGGTAGCACTGTAGTTTGAACAAAGTAGGCAATGAATAAATGATAGCTGTTACTTATTTCCTTGACCCAGTAGTTATTTAGAAGAATATTAATTTCTGAGTGACTGCTTTAGTTTATTTCCTTAATATTTTATTATAATCCAAAAATATGATCTGTGTAATTCCTGCCTTTAAGAATTTTAAGCTGGCCAGATGCAGTGGCTCATGCCTGTAATCCTAGCAGTTTGGAAGGCTGAGGTGGGAGGATTGCTTGAGGCCAGGAGTTTGAGGCTGCAGTGAGCCAAGATTGCACCACTGCATTCCAGCCTAGGTGACAGAGCGAGATCCTGTCTCTCAAAAAAAAAAAAAAAAAAAAGTTTTAAATTTACTTTATGGCCTAGAACATGGTCAGTTTTTATTACTTTTCATAGAAACTTAAAAGTTGAAAAGAACCCATATTCTTTTTACATTATAAAATTCAGTATCTACCTGTTCTAACATAAATTATTTCAAATGTTCTGTCCTTTTGTTCATTATGCTAGCTGATACTAGTACACTAAAATTTTCCCATCCATTTTGTTTCCATTTATTTTATGTCGTAGTCTCCAAGGCATCTGCTTTTGTGTTTTGTGGTTGGTTTAGTCATGGTTAAATGTTCAATACTATTCATTTGCTGTTTTTAATGACTTTTTTGCTTAAAAAATAACACATGCTAATTGTAGAAAATCTGAAAAATAAACATACACAGAAGGAAATAAACCTCTACACTCTTACTATGGAATATTATTAAAAGATTTTTATGTGATTAAGAGTAGAGGTTTTAGGGCCATGTGCAGTGGCTCACACCTGTAATCCCAACACTTTGGGAGGCTGAGGTGGGTGGATCACTTGAGGTCAGGAGTTCGAGACCAGCCTGACCAACATGGTGAAACCCCATCTCTACTAAAAAATACAAAAATTAGCTGGATGTGGTGGCACGCACCTGTAGTCCCAGTTACTCAGGAGACTGAGGCAGGAGAATCACTGGAACCTGGGACGTGGAGGTTGCAGTGAGCCAGGATTGTGCCACTGCACTCCAGCCTGGGTGACAGATCCAGACTCCATCTCAAAACAAAAAACAAAAGAGTAGGGGGGTTATAATTAGATTTAGGTTTGAATTTGGGCTCTACTTATTAGCCTTAGGCAGTATACTAGACTTTCTCATCTACTCAACAAATATTTATTGAACACCTACTGTATGTGCCAGGCATTTTGCTAGGGGGCTGGGGATCCAGTGCTTAGAAAGATTGACATACCTATCTTGGCTTCATTTCCTCATTTGTAAATTGGTGATAATACCTCATGAAGTTGTTAAGAAGCATCAAAGATAATAGTGCTTAGCATTTGCCTGGTATGCGGTAAGAGCTCAGTAAATAATAGCAATCATTATTACTGTGTATATTAATATTGATTATATCTTTAATTAAAATAAAATGACTTTTAATCAGCATAAAGTTTTTGCCTTTTATTTTTGGTATTAATGCCATAAACATTGGTTTTAATTTTCTTTATACTTATCTGTTTTGTTTGAGTTTCTCTTTAAAGTAGTAAATAGTTGTTGGTTTACTTTTTTAAAAATATAACTTGATTCTTAAAGTTTTGATTATCGACCTTTTTAAACACATACCAGACTGGAAAGAGTAGTATAATGAACCACCATATTCCCATATCCCATCCTCAAGGATTATCAAACTCATGGCCAATTTTGTTCCATTTCTGCTTCCTTTTCTCATTCTCCCAACCACCCCCTTCCCTGATAAATATTTGCATTTATACTTCTTAAAAGATAGACTTTTAAAACTCATAAACACCTTACCATCATCACTCATAAGAACATCAGTAATTCTTTAATAATATCTAGTCCCTTCCTTGTATAATTAGACACTTAAACTTTACATTTCTTACATTATTACTTTTGGAATGATTTCTGTCATCTTATATTTTTTATTCTTGTGAGGTTTTTTTCTTCTTCCATACAAATTATTTGAGGAGGTTATGAAATATAGAAGAAAGAATTATGGAGGTAAAAAGACCCGGGTTTGAATCCTGCTTCTGCAATTCAGTAATTAACTTGGCTGAGCCTTGGTTTCCTCGACTATAAAATAGGAGTAATTATACCTGACTCATGTTCTTAGGGTTGAATGTGATGCCTACAAAAAGTATTATTAATAGTCTCTGCCAGTTATTTCTTTAGTGATTTGGACTGTAATATCTATTCTTGGTTACTGTATGGTTTTTCAAAACATTCCAAAATTTATATTCACTGTTACTAAAAATAATGATTTTAAAATATCCTTCTAGGAAAGAGAATTTAGAATCTTTGCTTCTCGTACTACCTCTTTTATTTTGGGTTCACATTAATTTAACCTGAGATTACAAATCCTACTTTTAACTTTCTAAAGTGTTTTTTTCTTTTATATTGTTTATATACTTATATCAATTATTCTTCTTTATTGACCCCTTTCCTTTAGTGGGATTAACTATTTTACTCAGTTATTTCTAGATACTAAGTGGGTATCAGTATACTTCTCCAGTTCTTTTCTACCTCAGTATTCTTTATCTCTTTTTTTATTCTCTTTTGATGGTCTAGGATGTACCTTTGAACAATTTATTTTTTTTTAAACTACCAGGATGGTGAAAACTTGACTTTGCAGATCTAAGAATAGTTTCCTGTGACCTTTGTACATGAAAACCTAGGATGAGTTATAAAATTCTTAGATCATAACTTTTCCCTTTCAACTCTCTGTAAGTGATTACTTCATTGTCTTCTGGCATTTGATTGTTGCAGAGGAGAAATCTGAGGTCAATCTGATTTCAGTTCCTTTGAAATAACCTATTTTTTTTCTGCTTGTATGCTTGTAGGATTATATCTTTATCCTTGAAATTTAAAAACATTTGCCAGGACATGTCTTGGTGTTGATGATCTCTGTTGAACCTTCTCAGTCTCCAGTCTCAGGTATTTTTTTCAGAACTGGAAAGTTTTCTTATACTTTTGATTGATTAAACTGCCTGTTTTTTTTTTTTTTCTTTAGGAACATCTGTTATTCATAGATTTTTTTTTTGTTTCTCTTTTCCATTTTTTTTTAAATCTTTTTTTTCTTTTTTTTTTTTTTTTTTTTTCATTTACTCAAGTTTGTTCTCTGTGGCATGGATTCTGTTTTCTGCAGTGTCAATTCTAATACTTGCTATTCACAATGCAGATTTAATTTTGGCTACTATGTTTTCATTTCTTTATTCTTATCTCAACATACTCTTGTTTCATAAGCAGAATTCCCCTTAGAGGGTAACAGTTCAAAAAACATGAGGTGGATCCAGGCCTGAAACTTGGCCACAACCACAGGACCAGGGAAAAAAAAGTTTCTGAAAGGGTCCTCTTAAACTTAAAAATGTAGATATAACCAGAGGTCATTCCTACCCTCATCTAGAAAATAGAACAGTATTGGGTACTAACAGACCTTAACTAGCTAGAGGAATAGTAAAGCAGGCACAAGGGCACCTTAACTAGAAATAAACTGATTTTTCTAATTACATGTATTGTTTTCTCTTTATAAAATTAATACATAATAAGTGCATATAACTTTGAAAATACAGTACAAAGAAGAAAATCCTATGACCCAGGTAACGACTGATAAGATTTTATATGTTTTGCCAGTTACATGCACACATGTTGGGAGGGGGGATGCAAAATTGGGTCATACTATATAGTTCTGTATCCTTTTTAATTTAATATATTGCAAGCATATTTTTGGCATCATTAAATTTTCTTTGAGGCCCTGATTTTAACCATTGCATAGTATTCCTACATATGAATAGATGTATTATGATTTATTTAACCAGTCCCTTGTTGGTCACTTAGATTGTTTTCTATTTTTCAGTATAATGAGTATGATGAATATCACTGTACATAAGTCTTTATGCACATCTCTGATATTTCCTTAGGATAAATGAGGAGCTGATTCTTAATCCTGTCACATTGGTAAGGATTATATACATTCCTTATTAAGAATATAAAGTGCTTGTTACTTATTGTTTCAATGTGATTGCATAGAAGATTCGTTGGATTCTGAACAATTTGATGGTATCTTAACCAAAGTTTGAGAGAGGTTTCTAATGCCTCATGCTCAGCACCTTCATGATGGAATTCCTATTGCATAAGCTTTTGGACAGGAAAACCACTGCTGATATCAGGGAGTTTGGAAGGTAGATGTACCTGTGGATTAAAAAAAAAAAAGTATGGTCCTTGCTCATTCCTACAACCTGGGTCTCCATATTAATACACTAGGGTTCTGGATCCTTTCTTTTCCTCCTCCCTTCCTGTTACTTCAGACTGTTACTCTCTGTGAAGATTCTTCTGATGTCCTTATGTCCATTTCATTTCTAGGTAGCAGAATGTCAATAGATGGTATGCCCTGCTGAGTTCAAGGTAGCATTTTATCAGTCACAGATTATTTTTTGGTCCTAGCATACTTATACATGATGATCTCCTGCTGAAATCAAAGTATTTTTTTAACTAATTTTATATTTTCAGAGGTATCAAACAGCAGACTGGAAAAGGACATTGTTGTAACATGCCATTACAACAAAGCAATCTGCTTAATAGAATTGCTTAAAATGCAAGTTTTTAAAGTAATAAAATATTTTTAACATCAGAATTTTCCTTAAAATACTTAGGAATACTCTAGTGTTCCTGAAGCCTTGGTTCAGAAATACTTATTTGAATTATTCTTCCTCTTTAAGCTTGGAAAATGATCTTAGGTGATAATTTTTACAACATTGAAAGCAATACCTGCTGAAAGTCAAGGGAACAATCTCCTTTATCTGATTTGTTCTGATGAGACCCATATTGTAGGTTATTCTAATGTGTGGCTTTATACACATTTCAGGCTAACAAAGTAAAGCATGATTAGCAATTCCTAACCTTTTCCAGTATTTCACATCACATTTGCATATATACAATCTGCCAGGCTCTGAGATTTTTTGGCTGGAAGGCATTATGGTGGGATGAGAGAGGATAAATACATTTGCCTTACTTTTAAACTATTTTTTGTCCATACTCATTCTCTAGCTACATTGTATAAAAATATAGCACATATATAAATGATCTCTTCCACCCTGCTTGGTGGAAAATTAACGGTAGTGAATGGAAAATTAAATGTAGTGAACAGGTATTTCAACACTCTCCTATACTTCTGCATTGCATTACATCTTTAGAAGTTATCTGTAGAAATGTAAATGTTATACAGTCAATTGAAGCAAAAGAGAGGAAAAGAAGTAACATTTACTGAACATATACTGTCTCTTGGTGGATCTTTTTAATTACAACATCCTTATGAAGTAGATATTATGTGCATCTTGTGAATGAAGAAACTCAGGCTCAAAATGTCAAATAACTTACCCAAGTTTAGGTAACTACACCAGTAAGTGACAGAGTTGGGGTTTAAACGTGGTACTGGCCAGCTTTAGAACACTTTTTTTCCCACTTGTTTCTTAAAATTAAATATGTTTTCTTGTTTAACAGATACTATTCCTTAAACTTGGGGAAAAATAGGAAGTAAAATATTGAGTAAGACTGATAATCTATGTAACCTAATCTCTGATAAAACCAAGTGTCATTTTCCAAATGGGAAACTTAACTGCAGAAGTAACTTTATGCTCATTTCTAATAGATATCATTTGAATCCTTGTTTTGATTAAGTGATAGAAAATTTTCATTTAAATAAAGATGCTTTTTTGGTAGGAAAAGCCCTTTGTAAAGCTTTACTGGTATATAGGATAACATTGGCTCACTGCTTTAAAATTGTTCAATATTTTAAATTTTTGCTAAACTCAGGATGTAGATATTTTTACAAAAAGTGGAGCATAAAATACCCTTCAGATTATGTTTCACTCAATTTTTTTCTTAGGTTGCTTTGTTAGTATATACTATACTATTAGCTGGGTGAGTAGTTGAGAAAAAAAAAGTTTATTGTAAAATTTGATATGACATGAAGCTAAAAATAATGAAGAGGCTGATTGACAGATTTGGAATCTGATCTATAGAGACTAGCAATGGATCACAGCTGGAAAGAGATGAATGAAAAATTTTAAATAAAGTTTTATTCATGAAACGAAGAGTAACAACAGGTATGGATAGAGGGTGCAGGGTGTGGTTGCAGTGCAAGTAAAGAAGACAAGGATTCAATCAGAAAACTTGATATGTCAGCATTGTGTCGAGGGCATTCCAAAAATAATGCGTATGTGAACTGTATTAACATAAGTTTATTTTCTAGGTCAAAGCAGGTAATATGCCCTTTACTCTGCCTTGGTTGTATGAGGGTTGAAATGTTAATTACATATAATTCCATATACCACCCTTTAAGATAAATTGGAGCATGCTCAGAAAAGAAGATGGTGATGAGTCTTAGCTGTCTTAAATGTTTGAAGGAACTTGTTATCTAGAAAAGACAAGACTCAGAGTGGATTAGAGTCATAGATGTAGATTTATGACTCGAATCAAAGTCACAGACTTCCTGTGACTTTGCAGATAGAGTACAGGCAAGTTAGGCATCATTTATTAGTAATCCTCTTAAAGAGAATTCACAGCTGAGAAAAGTTGCTATATAATGAAAAATTTCATGTAGCAGGCAGTACTTTTTCAGAGATAGTATAGTGCGTAGTGAGGTAGTACACACTTGTCCTGGTAGTATTTAAGCATAAGTGTAAGAACAAAGTAGAAAGAATTTAAACATGTGATGTATAATAGGAACAGAAGACTTTTGAGATGTCATACCAATTCAAAGATTTTTTTTTTAATTCCAAGATTAAAAGGACTTCACAGAGTATTATTTTATCCTCATGAGGCTACCTCACCTTAGTAAGAGTAATGTGCATCGATACAGCTCTTTACCATTTATAAAGTTCTTTCTTCTGAATTATCTCGTTTTGGAGACTGGTAATACTCCTTTGGGTAGACAAGACAAGTATCCTCATTTTGAACAGGTAAAGAAATAGGCTAGCTAAGAGAAAGTCTGAATTGCCTTAAATCATAAAGCTTATAAGCAGCAGCCTAGGGCTCTACCCTTGGTCTACAAATTCCGAGTTTAGTGCCGTTTCTCCTGTACCACTTTTCTTTAAAAGTAAGTCATAAGTTGTGATACTTGTTTTGCATACATTAAAAATTGCAAGGAACAGATGGTTCTTAAATTTTATTCCTAAGAAAAATGTACATGTAGCTCAAGTTAGACTGAGGGTTCTAAATGCCAAGCAATGGGGAGTCATGGGGGCAAGTCTGTGTTACAGAAAGATAACCGTTTAAAATTAATGAAAAAATCTGGTTTGGGCTGCTAGATGAATGGTGGTGCCTTTCATTAAGATGGCAAATATAGGAGAGGGAGCAGGTTGGTAGGTAATTGAGCAGGTGAGGTAATTGAATTTTGGACGTAAGAAAAATAGCTGACATTGGTTGTTTACTAAGTGCCAGACACTATGCTTAGGGTTTTGTATCATTTAACTCATTTAGTCTTTTTACTACAACCCTCTGAAGATAAACCTTTTCAATCTTCATTTTCCATATGAAGAAACTGAAAAGCTTAGATTGTTTAAAGAACTTATCCAAGGCTTCATAGGGCAAGAATAGGAATTTGAATCTCTATGTCTGACAACAGAGCCACAGTTGTTAGGAGCTAGTTCTTTGGAACATTTGGATAAGAACAACCAGTAGTCAGTTGAATAAATGGTTGTCACTTTGAGGAAAAAGAAATATTCTAGAGATATATGAGTGTCCTTATACCAAAGAAGAGGACAGCGTTATAGCCTTTGAACATACCTTAGGAAAATAAAGATTTTATACCTGCCTCCACGTTTTCCTGAATTTTGGCACTGTTTCTGTGCTTCGTAGTATTATATAGGCATTCCCTAATCTAGGAACATCTTCTATGAATGGATGAAAGTGAAAGGTGCCCTTTGTATAAGGTCAATAGACCCTTCTAGGATGGGGGCCATGTTTTATTAACTTTTATCTCCAGCTCAGTGCCTGGAACATAGCTTGAATGAAATGAAATGAAATGAAATGAATGAACGAATGAATGGTAAATAGGGATGCGAAGAACAAAGAGGGGAGTTCATATTCAGAGCAGCTGCCTCCTGTGTAGTTTGAAGTGATAGGTGGGCTGCCTTTTTTTCCCAGGTAATAATGCTCCAAAAATGGTTAGCTTACATCCTTATATACTTGTTGAATTAATAGTCAGGGGCTACTCCTTTTCCAACTGAGGGAATGAGAGAAGAAACTATGTGTTCCTGACGTCCGCTTTTGTGATTTTTAAAACTTACACAAATAATACATATTCATTGTAGACATTGTAGACACATTAGAATATTCAAATAAGCAAAAATAAACCATTTAAATTGTCTAAAATTCTACCACCCAGAGATAGCCACTGTTAACATTTTGGTGTATATCCTTCCAGAGTTTTTCCCATAAAAATATATACATTGAAACATGTATATATTTATTTAAAATGGGATCATTACAATCCATATTGTTTTGTAAACTGCTTTTTCACTTATTACATGTGACTGTCTTTCTATGTCAGTGAATTTACATCTTTATCATCATTTTAATGACTGCATAGTATTCCATTATAAGGATGTACCATAATATATTTAACTAGTTCTCTATTGTTAGGAATTTAGGTTTCCAATTTGAAGGTCTTTTGGAATAAAAGTTATGGTGAGCATTCTTGTATGTACATCTTTGTACACTTATCTACTTTTAAAAAAATAGAAGTAGAATCAATGAGACATTTCAAAATTTTATGTGTGCTATTTTGGTTTTTTTAAAATACAGACTCAGATTGCCTTCCTGAAAGGTTGTGCTGATTGACACTTTCTCCAGCAGTATGTCCAGAGTACTCTTTCCCCATACCCTCATTAACACTGAGTGGTTTTTTGTTTGTATGTGGTAATTTTTTTTTTTTTTTTTTTTTTTTTTTTTTTTTTTTTTTTGTAAATCATTACCAATTTGAAAGGCAAAAGGTATCTTTGGGTTAAATGCATTTCTTTGATGAGTACTAAGGCTGAACTCTTTTTTCCCTTATTGCTCATTTCTGTTGAGGTTCATCGTTTTTTCTTACAGGTTTGTAAAACAAAGCTCTTTATGTATTGAGGATACCAACCCTTTGTTATATGTTGCCTTTTTTTGTAATCAGTTTGTCTTTTATCTTTTTTCATGTCTGGCAGATGTTTTAAACTTACAGATTAAAATGTCATTTTTTCTTTATGATTTCAACCCTCCTTACCCCATGAGTGTTGTTCACTTATATTCTAATACTTGTATAATTTTATTTTTGACATTTAAATGTTTAATCCATCTGGAATTTATTTTGATGTAGAGATTGGGCTTAATTTTCTCTGAAATAATTAATCAGTTCCCTTGATTAATTATGAATGAAGTTGGAATTTAGAATGTGTTTTGCCATACAGTGTTGTAAATGATGTTTGGTGAGGCTTAAATAAGACCATTTGTAATGCATTTAACTATTAAACTCAAGGGCTCACGTGGAAAGGTAATAATCATTTATTATATTACTTCCATGGAAAAATGTTTTTATAGTTTCAAATAATTAACTTTTGAAGCACAACCTGTTGCAAATTTAGCAACTGCGTACTCATATGGTGGTTCTACTTCATTAGAGCCCTTTAGGGGTGAAAAATCTTCCTCAGTTTTTTTTTTTTTTTTTTTTGTCTGCCTTCATTTAACTTTAACTGATGTGAGGTCTGTTTTGGTAACTTTCTGCTTGCTGTGCTTTTCACAGAATGGACAGCAAATTATGGATGAACCTATGGGAGAGGAGGAGATTAATCCACAAACTGTAAGTAAAATATTTTATCACAAAGGGTATAGATAAATGAAATACTAAAAAAAGAAAAATATATATAAATAATGGATAAGCACAGATAAAAAAAAAGATAAAAGATAAATGAAATACTGTAAAGTTATTCTTATTTTTCACCTGAGCAGAGTAATCATTTTACAGTATTAGAAACTCATTGGTCCTTTCACATTAACTTTATCAACATACATTATTGAGTATTCCAGGGACCTCTCTAAAAACTATTTGATAAGAGTGATGTTAAGAGAAAGACAAAACAAATTGCTTTATATTGTTGAAAGTTTTTCATTAGTGCCTAAAGCTTATGTTTTTTCGTCTCTTGGGGGTTTTTTTTGAGATGGAGTCTATCTTGTCGCCCAGGCTGGAGTGCAGTAGGGCAATCTTGGCTCACCGCAACCTCAGCCTCCTGGGTTCAAGCAATTCTCCTGCCTCAGACTTCTGAGTAGCTGAGATTACAGGCACCTGTCACCACACCCGGCTCATTTTTGAATTTTTGTATTTTTAGTAGAGATGGGGTTTCTCCATGTTGGCCAGGCTGGTCTCGAACTCCTGACCTCAGGTGATCTGCCCACCTTGGCCTCCCCAAATGCTGGGATTACAGACGTGAGTCACCGCGCCCAGCCTAAAGCTTATGTTTTTAAAGAACCAAACTGATCATAAATTTGTTAAAGACAAAATACAAAGGTCATACTTCACAGATATGTTTACCATAGAAAGTGGATGTTCACCATTTTCTCATCTGGTTTTTTGTTGTTGTTTACTCCTGAATCCCCAGTAACTAAACCAATATGCCTGGCACATAATGGACACTCATTAAATATTGCATAAGTGAGTTAATAAATTGTTCCCTACCACCACATACAGAATAACTATTGTCAGCAGCTCAGTTATAGTCTTGACATTTTTTACATAAGATAATTATTATTTATGATTACAAAATACACATTCTGCAACTCGCTCTTTTTACTTAACATGTCTTGAACATCTTTTTATGACAATACATATAGATCTACCTCTTCTTTGTTTTTGTATTTTTTTGTTTTGGGGGATTTTTTGAGACAAGGTGTCTCTCTGTCTGTCACCCAGGCTGGAGCGCAGTGGTGCAGTCATGACTCACTGTAACCTCAAACTCCTTGGCTCAAGCAACCCTCCCACCTCAGCCTTCCTAGTGGCTAGGACTACAGGCACATGCCATCATGCCCAGATAATTTTTTTTAATGTCTGTGTTTTTTGTACAAATGGAGTCTTGCTATGTTGCCCAGGCTGGTCTTGAACACCCGGACTCAAGCAATTATCCTGCCTTGGCCTCCCAAAGCATTGGGATTACAGGTGTTAGCCACCACGCCCAGCCGGATCTATCTACCTCTTTTTGAAGTGGTTACACAGTATTCTATTTTATGAATATCCTATATTTAATGTAATTTTCTCCTATTTATTTTTGTGAATTTGTGTTTCAGTTAGATATAGTCTTAGAAAAGGATGTACTGAAACCAAGGGTATAAACATTTAAATCTCAATAGACATTTATCAGATTTTCCTTCAAAATTTCACTATATGAGAATACCTGTTTGAGTATTGCCTACTCAACACTAGATATTATTAGAAAATATTTTTAATTTGAGTGACTCTAGATAAATAATACTTTCCCTTTTTTTTTTTCTTACTTGAGACAGAGTCTTGCTCTGCCACCCAGGCTGGGGTGCAGTGGTACGATCTCAGCTCACTGCAACCTCTGACTCCTGGGTTCAAGCCATTCTTCTGCCTCAGCCTCCCAAGTAGCTGGACTTATAGGCACTGGCCACCATACCCGACTAATTTCTACATTTTCAGTAGAGACAGGGTTTCACCATGTTGGCCAAGCTGGCCTCAAACTCCTGACCTCAAGTGATCTACCCATCTCGGTCTCCCAAAGTGCTGGGATTACAGGTGTGAGCCACCATGCCTTCCCAACTTTCCCATTTTCATATGCATCTCATTTGATTACTAGTGAGGTTGAGTATCCATACATTATTGGCCTTTGTTATTTTATGTTTTGCTCAGTTTTCTTTGGGGTTACTTGTTGTCTCCTTATTGGTCTGTACAGTCTCTGTATATATTCTGGATATTAACTCCACGTCTATTATATATCTTATAATATGTTTTTTTAAGCATTGATTATGTGTCTTTCATTGTAGTATGAACAGAAGTTTTCATTTTTAAATAGTCACATCTGACTTCTGGGTTTCACGCTTTGGTTAGAAAATCCTTCCCTACACTAAGATTATAAAAATATCCTTTTACATTTTGACCTTTTATGGTTTTTTGGTGTTTTTCGTTTTGTTTTGCATTTAGATCTGTGATCCCCTTGGAATTTAGTACCTGGTATGAGGTAGAAACCTAACTTTTCTTTCCAAATAGATAGCCTATTGTCCTAACCTCTGTTTATTGAATAAATAAAATCTATTCTTTTCCCCACCCATTTGAGATACCTCTTTTATCATGTATAAAATTGCCTTATACCCCTTGTATCAGTTTCCTAATTTGCCATAACAAATTACCACAAACTGGGTGGTTTAAAACAACAGATGGCTCTCAGGGGGGTTCCTTCCTTGCGTATTCCAGCTTCTAGTGTTTGCCAGCAATGCTTGACATTCCATGGCTTGTAGATACATCATTCCACCTCTGCCTCAGGCATCAGATGATCTCCCTGTTTGTGTCTGTGTCCAAATTTCCCTCTTCTCATAAGAGCACTAGTCATTGGATTGGGACCATCCCACTCCATTATGACTTTATCTTAATTACATCTGCAAAGACCCTGGTTTCAAATAAGGTCAAATTAATAGGTACCAGGGTTTAGAACTTGAACATACCTTTTTGGAGGGCACAATTCAACCTATAACCCCCCCCCCTGAATATTTTGACTTTACGTACTTTTTCAATTACTGTCATTTTATTATATGCTTTTTTTAATATGGTAAAGCAAGCCTTCCCACCTTTTTTACTTTTGTAAGAACTAGTCTTAAGTCTTATAAATGTAGTCCTATACATTTAATCTTCCAGATAAACTTTACAATCAGTTTGTCAAGTATGTCTGAAGAATTTATTGGGATTTTTATGAGAATTGCCTTAAATTTACAGATTTACATGAAAAATTATTTTAACAATATTGAGTCTTCACATTCATGAACATTCTTTTTTCTGGTTTTCTTTTACATCCTTTTCAAAATTTTATGGTTTCTTGGCTGGGTGTGGTGGCTTACACCTGTAATCCCAGCACTTTGGGAGGCTGAGGTAAGAGGTTCACTTGAACCCAGGAGTTTGAGACCATCCTGGGCAGCAGAGTGCGACCCAGTCTCTAGCACAAATTTAAAAATAAGCCAAGCATGGTGGTGTGTGCCAGTGGTCCCAGCTACTTGGGAGACTGAGGCAGAGAATCACTTGAACCCAGAAGTTTGAGGCTGCAGTGAGCTATGAGCATGCCATTGCATTCCAGCCTGGGCAACAGAGTGAGACCCTGCCTAAAAAAAAAAAAAAAGTTATGTTTTTTTTTACATATAGTTCTTATACATTTGTGTTAAGATAAGTTGTGAGCATTTTATAGTTTTATAGTCTTTGTTATGTTGTAAGTGGGATTTTTTTCTGCTATGTTTTCCATCTGGCTACTGCATATATATATATATATATATATATATATATATATATATATTTTAAAAGTTATGTGTTTCTGTATGGTTTTTAGCATCTTAGGAGTGTTGACTTTTCAGAAATCAAACAAATTGTCATGAACATTATGTCAGTTGTGGAAGAATAAGATCAGTTTAACCTGCTTAAAACACCTCCATAGTTTTATGGTTCCTTTAAATAAAAGCCCAACCTCCATAACATGACCTACCAGACCCTGCATAATAAGGATTTGCACACTTCTCTCCACATCCTCTCTAGCCACACACCTCTCCCCTCTACTGAAAGTCCAGTCACTCAAATGTATCACCTTTCTTTTGCCTCTGGGCTTTCATAGGGAATGTTCCTTCTCCCAGAATTCTTTTCCTTTACTGCCATCCCCACCACTTAATTCCTGATCATCTTTCAGAACTGTTTAGATATCATTTCAACTGAGACATCTTCCCAGTACAACTACCACTTCCACTTTCACTTTGAGTTAAGTGTTTTTCCTTTTTGCTGCGACAGGACCTATGCATACCCTAAATGGCAACACCATACTAGATTCCACTGCTTTTTTACTTGGTCTATACTCCCTACTAAACTGTGAGTTGAATGAGGCTGTGACCAAGTCTGACATATTCCTTGTTTTATGTCTGTGTCTAGCATCCAGTTGGTGTTCAATAAGTATTTGTAAATCAAATGAATAAATGGATTAGGTTTTAACTAGCTTAGGGACCCAGGCATGCATGGAGCCTAGTGCCCAGAGCTACCTCCGGATGCCTACCTTCTCCAAAATCATTTAAGGCAATTTGCTTAATTAGTTTATAGTATATATATTTACATGTAAGCAAATGTAAAAACAATCAGAAGGAAAACCTCCAAATTTTTTATTCTCTGTAGTCTAAAAGCATTTTCCATTGTGATGTTACATGGTTTGTACTTTCTCCTACTCATGGCTTTAGTAGCATTTACATCTGCAAGAGCCTGCATTCTAGAGATAGGTCAGAAAGATGCAGGACTAAGATATTACCAGCAATGTGGATGAAGCTGTTGAGCAGATCATTCCAGATTATACGAATTAGGCTTAGGTGTCAGATAAAAGCCTGGTATTTAATATTTATATAATGATATTAAATCCAAATGATTGTCAAAATGTTTATTAACCTTATAGTTTAAAATTGTATTTTTTTAATATATAATTAAAAGTTTTCCTTTTGCCAACTACTAATAATTTACATAGGGAACTTTGAGATGTTTCAACCAAGATATTTTCAGATACGGACCTACTTTAGGAAGTTGCTGAAAAATGGGCTCTGCCAACACTAGAGGGTTCTTAA